GTAAGAAAACCCCTTTTGCTCAAACTATAAGCTATAACCGCAAGGTCAGGTCCATGCTAGTAGAAACATTTGGTTTATTCATCTGTAGATAATTATGCAGTGCTGCAATGCTCAGCTAGGACTTCAACAATATGCCTACAAAGGATTCATAATCAATGTTGTAACATCAAATAGTTTACTACTTTCTTTTATCAGTACCTCCATATCCATATGCCCCACTGTTATGGTATCCTTTTCCCCATTGTTTCTAATCTGCTTTTTGTGTTTCTCTTTATATCTGTGCTCTTCATCCACTTCCACTTTTTGTTGCCTCTTCCTGTCACCGGTTGATAATCTGATGATCCGATTAGGATAGTAGTTGTTTTAAATTCGATTTATGTTAAAAAATGCAGAGATAGGCCTAGGAAGACTCGGGCTTCTTGTATAAAAAATAATCTTAATTTATTAGAAATAAATTTATTAGAAATAGAAATAAATGAAAATATGACACTAAAAAGGACGCAATGGAGAAAAAGGATTCATGTAGCCGACCCCACGTATTGGGATTAAGGCTTTGTTGCTGCTGCTGTTGTTGTTGTTTCTTTCATTTTTTGCTGACAACATACGCCCGCTTCCTTTTACTTCATCTATTTGTCTCCTAATGCATGGCAGTAGCTGCTAGGTGAGGAGGATGAAATAATCTTAGTAGAACTTTTGGAGCTGGAAAGTCTGGGATGGCTACTAAGAATGAAGAAGTCTAGGGTTAGAATGAGATTATGATATGCTTGCTTTTGAGTTTAGATACCTCTCGACATTTTTTTTTTAACCAAAATATATTAAATACATAAAAGATAGAAGTACAACAATGACTTTTGCAAAAAACTTCCTGAGAAAAAAAAAAACATAAATCACAGAAGATATAAAATATTCGTATGGATCGTCTATGATGATGGAGTTTCCCCATATAGCGGCACTGTAGCTGCTACAGTGCTGCAAACGCATTCCTAAAGCAACTATAGTATAGCGGTCCAACCTTTCCCCCCACCTTTCTTTCCTTTTCCTTTTAATATTTCTTTCATTTTTCATGAAATCCCCTAATATAAATCTAGTATATTATATAACTTCCTTTTTATTTTATTTCCTAATTGAAAGCATTGCCTAATATAAGTCATAATTCCTCTAATATATATGAGCTGTTTTTGCTTCTTAAAGGAGGTTTTTGATGATTTCCGATTTTAGTTATTGCTCTTGAGGCATTCTTCCCCTCCGGGGGCTGTACCCAACGACGAGAAGGTGCTTCGGCTGTAACTTGTCCGAGGTGGTCACCGTCTCCAAGGGTTTGGGTGGTGCCCAGGTTGCAGCTCGACCCCGACTAGACATTTTATCTTTCTTCAACCCTCCGACCCTCTTCCTGCTGCTAGCCACCCATCCTACCACTTGCCAGCTTGCTACCCTCACTGTCGAACTCCCTCCATTCCTTCCATAAACTGCCATAAGCCCTCCCAACCCATCCAGATCTGACCGCAACCCTCTTTGGTCTTCCCCCTTTCTATTGTAGCCATTTCCAACTCTTCCCAATGCTGCAGCAGCCTAGCAGCTGTTTCAACTCCTCCATAAGATTTACCTACTACCGTAACCTTTATTGAAGTATGTGTTGTGTCTTTATATTTGTGTTGTTTTGTTATCGTTATTTCATGTTTTCAAGCATCTTTTGTAATCCTTTAAATTTCAATAATAATATTTGTTTTTTGTTGCTATGTGGGTTTCCTCCGGTATCATTTGGTATCGGGGTTAGCCCAACCCTAGTCCTATCTCAGGGTCCCCAGTATTCGCCCCTACGCAAGCCACCCTCACCAATATTTTCCTACCCTAAATGCTTTGACTGATGAAGTTGAAGCTCCCTCAACCTCAGTAGATTGACGCGGGAGTTTCCCTGGATCGCAGTATTGTACCTGCTATAGTTTTTTGAATGTGTTACTGTAGCAACTACAGTAACTGCGGTCCAACCCTTCTCTTGTCACTATCTTGAAGTTTAGTGAAAAAAATGTAAGTGGCAATAGATATTTTTATGATCCATGATTTTTTTTTGGTATAAAGAATATAAAACTCTATTTCTACCAAAGATTAGATACTTTGAATGCTCCAATCAGAATCTCTTGTCACTATCTTGAAGTTTAGTGAAAAAATGTAAGTGGCAATAGATATTTTTATGATCCATGATTTTTTTTGGTATAAAGAATATAAAACTCTATTTCTACCAAAGATTAGATACTCTGAATGCTCCAATCAGAATCATAAACATTTGTAATATCTCCATTTTGTTTACAAATAGGATAAGTTTAATATTTTTCTAATACTTAAAGAATATTTTGAGTGATAGTTTCAATAGTTAATGAATCGACAGGCACCAAGGGGCTAGCGGAGATAAAAGCCTCGACCATTATCTCCATTTGTGAATCTGATTGTAGTGGAAAATCTTAGGAATAAGACTGAACTAGGGCTGTTTCATCAGAGGGATAGGGGGATCATCATGAGAGTTAAATAAAATATTTTGCACCAAAAATTTAAGATTTTTTTTGTCAGGACAGTCTTGACACATCAAAAAATTTTATGCTAAAAAAAGAAGAGGAACAATTTGTTGGAATATTTTCAATATTTATCTTCTATCAATATTTAGACACGAAGTCCCAATTTACATATTATAAAGAAGAGTTATAATGCCCAATTACATCATGATTCTAGCAGCAGAAAACCTAGTAAAATGAATTGTTGTTGCATTTAATTGCATGGACTTCTAAAAATAGAAGTCAAGAATAGGGTTGTAAATGAACCAATGCACTTTATTTAACTCGATTAAAACTTGATTCGTTTAAATTGCAGATAAAATGTTTGTACTTATTTTAAAAGCATGAAGGTTAAATGAACTAAATATGAACATAATTCAACTTATTTATTTATGTTCATGAACAAATTCATTTTTTGTTCAACAAGTAACTTGCTAAATATTGACATTAAGTTTAATGTTAGTTTATATATATATATATATATATATATAAAATAAAGTCTGATTAACAAGAATTTGTTTAATTATAAATTTAACAGTAATACTATTATATCAATAATATTTTAGTATTAATTATTAATTATATATTTATTTTATTAATATTTATTTATTTATTAACCCAATTTAAATAAATTAACTTAAATCATTCTCATTTTTACTTATATTTACAATTTGTACATGCACGTACATATATGTTATATATATACACCTACACATACATATCCATTATACACATAATATATATATATATATACTCGTATGCATGTACGCATCTTACATACATGCATACATAGATGTAGATATACATCTACATCGACATTTACTTCTACATCTACATGTGCATACATGAGATGTTGAATTTTGATGAAAGAAAAATAGACAGTTTTTATTGGAGTGGGGGAAACATTCACAACATTCGAAGGAAACGAAGGTCTCACTTGGGGGTCATCCAGGACACTCAGAGAGATTATTGCAAGATGTGGGATCCAATGAGACTGATAAACAGGAAATTCAAAAGATCCCTTAACATAGGTTAAAAGAAGAGAATAAGTACAACCAAGGATACAAGAGCAGCAAAAAAATACCGTCGGAGAGAGAGCATAAAAGAATGGTGTGGCAAGGCCCGATTTATGAGTTGGGAGTAGAGAGCAAATGTGATATTGACGTCATGAGGTGGCATCAGCATCACAAATAGCTCAAGAACCCAACAAATTAGATTAGGCTTTACAATGCTATAAGTGACAATCGAATGATATGGGAGGGAGGCTTGTATGACCAAATCCTTGCCATATTGCTCCTGTTGTAGTTACGACAATATTATTCAGTTGTGACTTCTCGCTTCTATGTTCGAAGAGATGGGGCCTGTCACAGATGAGAGTGAGAGTGCCAAACCACAGATGCAAATAAGCTACTTTTGACTCAATTGTTGGGCGAGGCAATTGGACTTCACATGTTTATACAGAAGGAAATTCCAAACATTATGTGCAGATATTTAACTTTGGGTATTTTGGCATCTAGGTTTTTCTTTATTTATATCCACACAATTAAATTCTGGACAGTGATTTTGAATTACATACCACTAGTGAATTTGATAGCTAATAGTAAATCATATGGAGATGATTTTGATGTAGCCTCATTGGTACTGGGAAATGGACATAACCTCCGGTCTATCAATGGACATAATCTTCCAACATCAAAGGGTTGTATGAACATCCAGGCAGATTAGGGTTGCAATGAATATATTACTCAAAAGTTGTCCTTTTGATATTCATTTTTGTTCATTTAATTACATAAGTGCTGGTTTTATTGACTATTTCAAAGGCACAATGCATGAATGCTTGTGGTTTAGAGGTACTCGATAACCAAAAAGGACTTAGAGGCGTGTCATTAAACATCAATCATGCACGCATTTTAGTTTGACTCAAAGAAGCATATCTAAGACGTGATTTTTGGTTTTAGAGGTTTTAATTGGTGGATTTAATTTTGATTATTAGACTTCTTAGCAAGTATCTGTCCTAATTTTAGGTTTGGTAGCAGCTTATTGTCATCTGAAGTTTACATATTTGATTTTATGCATTTGTTATTGTTGTATCAACCGAAATTAATTTGCATGGGGATTACATCAATAGGAAGGCCCATTTTATATCTTTTAGGCTTTTATCTTGCGTTTGATGTTTATCATGATTTTAAATTTTTGTTGCTGTATCTTTTTTAAGAATTCTTCATGAATGTATATTATGTTTTGTGTTTCTTAAATCACGTTTATAAATATACTAGAATAGAACTGGTGTTTTTGTGTTGTCTTTATACATTTTGCATGTTTATGCATTGTGTGGCAACATCATTAAGTTTGCTCTATGGTAGTTTTGGGTCTATATTGAAATCAGCCAAACTCACTCTTTTCAAATATAATGATTGATTTTTTGGCTCATTTTGTTTATGATTATTTTATTTCAAGGTTTGTTTGATGAAAATCCTGGGCAGAAATGTTCCCTCAACATGCTTCCTTGTCACTATCATTTCAAAAATGACAACAGCGCTCTGTCTACCTCTAGTTAAGGATTGTGGATATGTTGGAATGTTGAAGCCGCACAACAAATATAACCACCAATACCTAATGACAAAGGTTAGTGGTAGGTTTTTGTTGAAGTATAGTTTTCAGTGATCAACTCAGTTTAAAGATCAACAAAAAGTTGCAAAACCTCTTGTCGAGTCAAAAGATCAATGATTCTTTAATTTTTTGACCCATGCAATTGTTGATAATTACATTTTTGAGAGAAAATATTGAAATTATATATTAGGACTTTTGTCTCGCATAAATAAAGTTTGTTCTATTTAAGTTTCAGACGAGACCTTATGTGATCAGAAGTTGGCACTGTTCTGTAGGAGACATGCAGGTTTCAATAGAGGGCGAATGGGACCATAGATGAGGGCATTGCTGGGATTAGAAAGACAGATGTGAGAGAAAAAATTCATTAGGATTTCGGTCATGGGTCCAATATGTGGGTATTAAACCTAATTTTGCTTATATTTTTTATACTTTAAAGTTGTTCAAGTCTTGAACACATTCATGGACCAATGAAGCCCATAACTAATTTGATGTATCATTTGGGGTATTAATTGAACTCATGAAATTTCTGAAAGGTTAAGCTTAATCAGACTGAATGCCATTAATTGATATAGTTGGGGTCTAGATTTAATTAATTGGGCCTATTTAGCCAGCTAAAAATTATGATTAAATTAAGTAGTTTTAAGCATAATAATGACAATTTAACCAATCTAAATCTTTAGATCTTAGTGGGTTAATTTATACCTTTGCAAAGCCAATTTTAGCCTATATTTAGCAATTGAATGCTTAATTATAGTATTTTTTGGCTTTTGATTAATTACATAGGGTTGATTGAGACTTACGTTGGTAAGGTAATGCCGGAATTATTCTTTTAGTTAATTTTCTGAAGGTGGGCTTAAGAAGGCAATATCAAAGATTAAGGCCCTTTGCTTTACTGAGACAAAGTGTAAGCCGTAAGGTAGATTGTGATATAAGCCACGAATTAAACACAAATTACTTATAAAATTAAAGATAATAAATACACTGAAACCACCAACAATATTTAAAAAGAAAATTGAAAACTTGAACCCTAAAAGAAAACAATAGCAAAATAATTAAAATAAAAGGAAAAGTAAAATCAGTTAAAAAGATAATAAAAATTGTTAAAAATAAAATTTGTTATATAGACAATACAAATTTGTTTAAAGAAAATCAAAACAAACTAGCTAAAACAAAAAGGAACAAATTACTCAAAAAAAAATATATTACTGTTTAAAATAATATTAAAAGAAAAATCTAAACTTAAGAACTTAAACCCTTTAATATAATTAAGAATTTAAGTAAAGGCTAATTTGAATTGCTCGCCTCATCGGCCTCAAGCCATACACCTTTTTGAACAATGAACTTGAGATTAATTAACTTTAATTGGAGCATACAAACTTTTGTTCTTTATATATGACATGGAGGTGATGCATTCTCCATATGTATCCTCTAGCTTTTCCTAAAGCAACAAAAGCTTCTACTGGCAGCTCTGATAAATATTTTTCTCCTTTAATTTGAGAGTTTAGAGGTTGCTTGAGTCTACAAGATACATATCATGTTATTTTAAAAATTTACTCTTCTTTTTTATCATATGTTTTTTACTTCGAGGATCTTGTTTTTTGTTTGGAACCTGTTGAAATTATTTTCTTTTCAAGGCTTTAGAGCATGAAATAAATTCGTTCTGACCTATTTATTTCTTCGAGTTCTTTCGAAGTACTTTTAGCATATAATATTGTTTTCTTGGGAACTACTGTTGTGTCAATTATGCATGTGACAACATTTCATGTTTTTATTCATGGATTTCATTGTCATGCATCTAGAAGTTATGGATATTCTTATTATTCCATTCAATTTCTTAAATTATGGGAACAGCTTAATCTTCTATATTTTGTTAATTTACCAGACTGTAACTGACTATTGGCCATATATGGGTCACTTCACTATAGAGTTGAACTTGAGCAATACAAAGGCCCTAATATTATAATTTCAAATTTCTGATCATTTTTTTGTTGTTTGGGTGCTATACAAGTAAATACGATTATACAGATATTTATAATGTTGTCTTTAAAATTCTTTTTATATAAGAAGCTTTTTTCATGATCATATGGGCTCTACTCAATTGAATTGAGCAGTCAAAACTTTTCTACCCTTCTCATTTCTCCTTTTGTTTTTTTTTTAACAGTCTTGCATGCCTAAAGAAATTTCCATTTTGGTTGGTAGTGAACAATTCTGGTTTAAATTTTACAGAAATTACTTGCAACATGGCAAAAACTGCCAGGAGCCGGCGCAGGGTTTCTTCTCGCCAGTTCAGGTCGACTCCTTATTCTTTCCCAAAGTCTTACAGCTGGGTAGCCTCAGAACCAGGCAACTTGAAAAGAAAATTGGCATTGGAAAGGAAGGACTGGGAAGATGCTACATGCTCAGTGTGCATGGACTTCCCACACAATGCTGTTCTCCTGCTTTGCTCGTCCCACGAGAAAGGTTGTCGTCCTTATATGTGTGGTACCAATTACCACCACTCGAACTGCCTCGATCAGTTCAAGAAGGCTTACACGAAGGTAAGGTCTAATCAACTAGATTCAATTGTCGACGTCGCAGACAACCCTGGGCTAATCGTCCCCGGCTGGTCCTCAAGCAGTAAGTCTGAGTCATTGGAGCTCGCCTGCCCTCTCTGTCGAGGGCAAGTGAAGGGATGGACTGTAGTGGAACCAGCGAGGAAATATCTAAACAACATGATGAGGAATTGCATGCATGATGGTTGCTCTCATGTCGGAACATACAAGGAACTCAAAAAGCACGTGAGGTCCAAACACCCTTGCGCCAAGCCTCGTGAGGTTGACCCTGCATTGGAGGAGAAATGGAGAGTGCTCGAACACGAGAGGGAGCGGCAGGACGTCATCAGCACGATAACATCATCGATGCCTCGATCCGTGGTGTTTGGAGACTACATCATAGAGATGACCAATAGCGATGTTGACAGCGATGATGAGGCTGGAGATGTCGAATTCGGAGGAGGAAGCGGCGGTATCAGCAGAAGCATCCTTTATTTTTTCTTGCAGGAAGGCGCGCGTCTAATGAGGTTTCAGAGGGATCAAGATGTTAATGCGGAACTTGCAGATGAGGGGGCTTATGATCACGATTTACTAGGCAGCGCGAACATTTCTGCTGCCTCGGCTGCTTATTCCTCTGGAGGAGATGATAGCAGTGCAACTACGGTTTTTAGCCGAGGGAGAGATTTGGGTTTGTTGAGATCAGATAGGCGGCGGAGGAGGCGGCGCCGTCGAAGCAGGGGCTCAGGAGCATTTGATTAATTTGAAGAATAAAGGTTAAGGCATGTTTTTTAGGGTCTCATAAACGTAGAAAAAATTGACAGGGACCTCATCATCTATACATTTATATTAAGATTAAACTATACTGTCAATTATATTTGTTTTCCTATACTGGATTTAAAGTTAGTGGGATGTTGAGGACCTTTCTGCATATATTTATGAGATGATTCTAAAACTTGCAACCAGTGTCTGGTTGTTTAATTGTGTTCTACAGTTGACAGGTTTCTGCTGCTACTGCTGAGCAGGTTCTTCCTTTAGCTGTAACTGTAACGTTTTGCTTTCATATATAGACTCATGCAATGCAATTGCTATTAAAAAAAATTTATGATTGTTGTAATAAGAAGCGGCTGCAGTTAAATATTGTAAAATTGGTTCTCTATTGTGAGAGAAGTGCAGGAATGGTTTGAACAGGTTCACAACTATTGAGTTTTTTTTTTTTTTTGAATTTGAGATTCAACTGGTAACTGGCAGTTTCTTTAATAACGGCTGCAGTTAAATATTGTAAAATTGGTTCTCTATGGTGAGAAAAGTGCAGGAATGGTTTGAACAAGTTCACAACTATTGAGTTTTTTATTTTTTAAATTTGAGATTCAACTGATAACTGGCAGTGTCTTTAATAACATTCCAATTCTACACTTGCCAAATCAAAATTATGTTATCATGATTTTCTACGAAGTCATGAAGAACTCCTATCATGTTGGGTTACATTTCTCTTAATGTTTGAATGAATGGGGTATGAAGTTGAATCAAGCTTGAGCCACAAGTGTCTTGAGCTCGACTAAATAATCAAGATTTAGCTCGAGTTCGCGTCTAAACTTTGAGTAAGCTTATTTATCATAAAAGGGAGTATTTGTTTTTATTCGAGTAGTTAATGTATTCTTATTTATCATAAAAGGGAGTATTTGTTTTTATTCTAGTTAATGTATTAAATGATGAAAATGATGACGATGATGACGGTTGAAAATTGTTTCTTCCAATTATTATGTTGCGGATAAATACAGATAGTAATAATTTATAAACAAATAAACTGGCTAGATGAAGAATTGAGTCAGAGTTGAGTCATGATTCATTCACCAAGTTTGAGTCTTTACTAATCCATGAGTCTATTTAATTCAAATACACCCCTTACAATCGAAGTTTTTGCACTGCTTTCGGTTGTCATATTTGAATGACTTCATATTGATTTTCCATCTCTTATAAGAACGAACGATTGTTTAGAATTGCCATAAATTGTTCCCATCAGTTGCCCAACTACATAACCCATGGTATCAATGGTGATATTTGTGGATCCCAATAATTTCACTGTTTATGTATCAAAAGGTACATTTGTTTCCTAATGTTCAAACTTCTTGTTTAAGCCTTTGTTTCTTTATGAGGGAAATGCTCATATTAATTATTCATGAAGCTAGCTTAGCTTGGGAAACTTGGGCGGCGTGTGGCCGCAATTTAGATTTACATTAAATAGAATGTATCAAACCCAATCGCACACAAAAGAGCTAGCGAGTGACGATAAAATAAATCCGTCTCATGATAGGTTTCCTAAATCAAGATTTACGTCGTAAAATAGATGAAACAGGAGAAAAAAGGATGAAGTGCGAGAAAATTCGACTCAACGGAGCATTGGATTTAATTTTCATTTTTTTTTATTTGGTTTGATTTAAGTTAAATTTATGGTTAAATCCTGTTCTTGGGACTTGACACTGTAAAATCGTCATGGGGATAATGTGGTTGGGTCATGGTGCTCAAAATAGTCGCATGAGGTTCATTGATTTGGTATAGTTGTGGAAGTTAAAATTGTCCCTATAATCTCTTGGGATGGAGAAGGTTGGTCAAACTTTTGGGTTATTTATAAATATATAACTAATAACATGGTCTAGAAAAATTAGTTCTTAGATTGATTTGAAGTGATAAGTCATGTATCGCAAATCATCCTCAATGAAGAAATAAATTTTGCATGTAAGAAATAAATATGAGAAGTATTCCTGCCAATTAGTCTAGTATTCTAGGCATTAATCATCTTAGTTTACATGCAAAAGAAGTCTAAAAGCGATTATTGTTACATATTATACCCAAAGAGATTTGATAAAATTGCGACATGTATGCCCCCTCATTAGGAATCCAAATAATCATTTCATGCCCACCTCAATGATATGTTAAATTATTATGAAATCGTAAATGCAAATATTTCAAGCCTTTCTTTTGTGATAGATACATTTATTCTCATCATTAAAATACTAAATCATCATGAATCATAACAAGATGAAATTTTATTCAAATTTCAGTATTTTGAAGTGTGTGTATGTGTTGAATTCTTATTTGTCTGTGAATCACAAACAAAAAATGGAATGTTAAGTAAAACTATATATATATATATATAGTGAGAGAGTGAGAGAGAATTGTAAAATAACATAGTGAATTATGTCATTAATAAATGATTTTCATATTTATAGGAGGGAGCACAAAATGATGATATTACATTTCTCTCACTGTTTTAAAGGGGTTCATACTATGTTATTTCTAATATTTTACATACATAAGTTGGTTATCTGGCTATTTTCTAACATGGTTGGATGTCCTTTATCGGCTTCGAGTTTGCAGAATCAGCTCGATCGACCAAACTTGGTCGATATGGGCGACCAGTTGATATGGCCATAATGTCAATACTTGACCCCTAATGAGGAGCATCTGAGTGTCCATGGGAAGGATAAAGATGTTAAGGAACCAACTCTCCTCAGATTAGTTACCATGCAGTGGTTGGCACAGATATCTTTTTGTTTTGTTTCTGGCTGAATGGCTCCTTGTTGTATCCTCTGGTCTCATTTGGCCCATCTCGTGGTTCGGTCGACCTTGGCCTTGCTGGCTTGGCTCAGACAGGTTAACTCAGTTGGACAAGTAGACTCCATGATCTTCTGTCAGTGGACCCTCTTTTCATTTTGTTCTTCTCTTTTGGACTGTTACATCTCCATAAGTTTAATGCTGACATATTTTGGTCGACAAGACTTATGGTCGTATGAACTTACGGTCCTCCAAAATTCTATTCGTCTAAAATTCTGGTCGTCAAGACCTTTGGTCGTCTATAATTCTGGTTGTTTAGACTTCTAGCCATCTAGACTTTCGATCGTTCATAATGTAGGTCGTTCAGACTACGGCTATTGGGATCTGGTCCAACTAAACTTAATCTTTGTTTCTTCTCCTTGTATTATTTCTTCTTATTGATGACATGATCCACACTCACATCACCTTTGATGATTTTGAATCTAGATATGTCTTTGTGAATCACACTCAAGGAATAGAATGTAGAGTATGACAGATAGTGAAAGTGTGTGTGAGAGAGAGAGTACACGGTAATGAATAATAGAATGAAGGAATTGTGTTTGGATAGATTCAATTGATTAGTTTTTACTGAAGAAATGAGCCCCCTGTTTATAGGATAGAGGGTACAATATACATAATTACATGCTTACTCTTGCTTTAGTGGTATTTACATAAATGAGCATACAAATCAACTACCCTAGCATTAGGTCAGTTGGAATCGGCGATTCAACGGGGTTTGTTCGCCCGGATACGCTGAGTTGGAGTTGTTGATTGGGTCTTATTGGACTTCGGTCATCTTCATTGGGTTCGGTCGGCTTGGTTCTATCAGTTGGCTTGGTGCTATCAATTGGCTGATCTGGTCTTGTTGACTATCGATTCCAAGATAAGGAGCTTTCGTGGCCATGATGAGACTAGGCTGTCGGGTAGAAGGTGAATCCTTTAACAAAAAAGTACTTTAGGGTGTTCATGGTGTAGATGATGGTAGAACCCTCGGTCTTCTGATGAAAAATCATTAAGGTTCCTTATGAGATGGTTGGTGATGCTAGGGCGAGAGTTGGGTTGATGCCTTTTCTGGGCATGGTGTCTTTTAATCTCTAGTTCAGACTGTCTGCGTCCAATCGACTTCTAATCCCAATTTAAGGGGTATGTACTTGGTCAATCAAGTTCTTTGCTTTCACGGTGATGAGACTTTTGGTCTTCCTTATGTGGCGCATTCCTAATCTTACTTTCATGTCTCTTATCGTGTTGATGTACATATGAAAATGTTTGTTATTCTTCCTTAGATTTGATTTCAGCAAAGTTAAATTTAAATCCTTCCAAATAGAATTTTATAAATTTAAATTATACCATTCTAATAAATCAATTTTAGCATCATCATTTGTTAAATTTCATCACAAGATATTTTTTTGAAAATTTTCATACATTCCACTCAAATCTTATTTATTTACATATGAAACATCTAAACTTTCATTTTTACATATATATTGTTTTATCTATGCCTCAAAATCTGTATTTTAATTTTTAAAAGTAAACAATGGTGTGTTTTTTTATGGGAAATGAAATATCTTGATGGTATAAATTTAAAATGTAAAATTTAGATACTAGATATGTAAATACGTAGAAATTCTAGGGTATTTATGTAAATGCCAAACCCCCCAGGTCAAGCGACGTCGGCTAGTACCAAGTATTTTGTTCTTTTCAGATGCCATAACGCTTCTCTTGTCTCAGTTCGCTGCTTCACTCTTGCTCTCACCCCTTCGCTTTCCGACCGTTGGTGCCTTGCCAGCTTTGCTCCGCCTCCTTTGGCCCTGCACATGGTGTAGAGAATCTGCGCACAAAGAAGAGGGAGAGTAAAGTGAGAGAAAGTGAGAGTCAGCAAGCAAAGCAGCTCCCTTTGCGGCTTTGCTTCCCCGTTTCTCTTCCAAAACCCTAAACCACAGCATTCCTTACCTCCATTAATGGCGCTACTTATCCCCGCACTTCTCTTCCATCTTCTTTCCCTCCCTCTGATTGTTCTCTGCAAATCCACCATTGAACCCTGTTCCGTTTCCGACTCCTGCAACGCCCTCGCGGGCTACACACTCTACACCGAGCTCAAGGTCTCTGAAGTTGCTGCTCTCTTCCAGGTCGACCCAATTGGCCTTCTCAACGCCAATGCCATTGACATTTCTATTCCCGATGTTGAGAATCACATTCTTCCCGCCGGCCTCTTCGTCAAAATCCCCACCATCTGCTCCTGCTCCGATGGCATCCGTAAGTCCGTTTCCACTCGCTACAAAACACGCCCCTCCGTCACTCTTTCTTCTATAGCGGACTCCGTTTACGCCGGTCTTGTCTCCACCGACCAGATCCGTGATGCTAACTCCATCACCGACCCCTCTATGCTCGATGTTGGTCAGATACTTGTTATCCCTCTTCCTTGCACTTGCTTCAACTCCACCGATAACTTCCTTCCTGCTATCTACCTGTCTTACGTCGTGTTGGTTGGGGATACCGTCCCCGGCATTGCTGCAAGGTACTCCACCACGGTTACCGATATTATGAACGTGAATGCGATGGGGAGCCCGGTGGTCAGGGCTGGCGATATACTTGCAATTCCATTGCCAGGTAAGGGCGGTTTCTTTATTACTTAGCTTGGATTTCAATGAGTTTTATTTTCTTGTGATTTTGCTGCAATCTGCAACTATCAGGCTGTTTCTTGCTTATAGATTCTAAATGAGCATTTTTTTTACTGTACAGCTGATTGCTGCTTGATTTTCTTCATGATATGATTCTTTGTAAGGATTTTTGTCTTGTTATTTCAATATTTTTCTCCAACAGCAGTCAGGATGGTTCAGTTTTTTTTTTTTTTTTAACGTGGAAAATAATTGGAAGATTTATATGCACACCACTCAATTTTTATGTATTTACATATCTGAACCTAAAATTCAATTTTTACATACATACTACCTTCTCTATGAATGTAAAGGTGTCTTTCACTTTTTAAAAGTTAAAATGGTGGTACTTCTAATGTGATATGAAAGCTCTGGGTGGTATAGTTGTAAAAAGAAAAATTTAGATATGTAAATACATAGGAATTGGGTGGTATGTTTGTAGAGGAAGAGGGACGGATGCGATGGTGTGAGAATTGCAATGAGAATAGATTGGTATGGTGCTCTAACTGTGTAGTTTTTCTTTCTATTGAAACAATCAGTTCTATTTGGGTCAATCATATAAAATAGGATTGATATATTAAAAGAAGGCGGAATTATGCTTAGTGGCAAAAGCACTTATTTATCCTGATAATCCTCAAGCATACTATGTTTATTATTTTGCTTATCAACTTCAATTTTGTTTAGTAACAATAGAAAAAAATCATTGGCAAGTCGGATATCTTTTTAAGTTTATTTCAAAAATTTTGAATACACTTGGAGCTTCTTGTAAGAGGAGTGATACTCTTAAAACCTTTCAACATGAGAAGATGATCATAGTTTAAATCAAGAAACTACTTTGTAACGAGCTCATGAAATCCGTCAGAAGTGTATGCATTTATAATTGAAGTGCTTGAGATTGTAAAGGAAGATGATGTACATGATCGACAGTCAGTTGAACTTGATGATTTAATCAGTGCAATGGAATCTTTTGAATTTATCTTTACAATACATTTGGTGATTAATATTTTAGGTATTACAAATAAATTATCACAATCCTTACAAAAAATATATCAGAATATTGAGAATGCAATGAAATTGGTACAAGAATCCAAATAACAATTATAGATGACGAGCGGGAATGTATGAGATTCTTTATTAGATGAAGTGTCTTGCTTTTTTTCATGTTTTTGAAATTGATATTTCAGATATGAACTGTATTTTTAAGGCTAATCGTTGGTCAACACATAGAGGTGAAAAAAAAGACAAATTTACATTATTATTGTGTTTAGTTGTTTTATAATGTGATTGACATGCAAATTCAAAAGTGAAGAATCGTTTTTCAAATAAAAAAAAAAGTACTGAGCTACTTCTTTGTATGACATGTTTAAACCTAAATGATTCATTCACTGTTTTTTATTAGGAGAAATTGAGTCATCTTACAGAATTATATCCACATTATTTTTCTATTATTGAGTTTGTGGCACTTGAGCTCTAACTTTTCACTTATATTATTGATATGTGCATTAGTGCCTATTTTTCATCTCTAAATGGTATTGTTGATATTGCAAAACTGTTGGTTCGGAGTTCAGACGAAGAATAATGATTTGTATCATTTAGTTATCGACTTGAAACAGGTACAAAATCCAACCCAACTATTTGAATAAAAATTTTAGTTATAGGTTCTATTCCACCTACTTTCAGGGTTTAATTCATTGATCAAATGAGAAACTTAAATTATGGGAAAGGTTTTATACTTGTATAAGCAAATAGCTAGCTTGTTTTGATTTGGTGAATTCATTCCCTTATTTTTTTTCTTCTGTATTTATTACTGATTTAAGAGTGATTATGTTTAACTAAATGTTACATAGTTTTTTGTTTCAAGGAGTGCAGAAGTTTCAATGTTTTTGCATGGTTTTTTAATTTTTTTAAACTTGGATGTCTAACTAGTGGTTGACCTTTAAATTTTATTGTGATTGATTTCCGCTGATTTCAAATTTCAGTTAAACTTGGATGTCTAACTAGTGGTTGACCTTTAATTGTGATTGATTTCCGCTGATTTCAAATTTCAGTTAAGTTTAGTTAAAAAGCATGAGCTTGTGACTTGCATGAATTCTGTGTGATTGTATGTTAGTTTACGTCTCATATTAAATTTTCCAAAAACGATTTTTATAAATACCAAAACCTATTGGCTCTAAGAAGAAGCGCGAAGAGAGACTCCTTGAGGATAAAGTTGACGCATTAATAAGTAGAATCAACTGATGAGAGCCAAGGATATTCTTCTTCCATCAACCACTGAAACTTGTATCGTTTAGATCTATTTGCCTTGCCCACTTTTTTATCTGCTTCACTTGAATTTAAGTAGCAATTCCTGAGTCATGTGGAACTTAATTGAATTATACATTTAGACATTCATTAATTTTATATCCTACTACTTTGGATTTATAAGTTCTTTAATTTTATACTTCAGCCTTCATGTTTTGAGGCCATTGTTTAACAACTTCGCTCTGATTACCATGATTCTTGTCTCTTCTGCCAGCCTGTTCGTCAAATTTCCCGACATATGCATCTGATCATTTCTTGACAGTAGCAAATGGCACCTACGCTATAACTGCCAGTCATTGTGTCCAGTGCAGCTGTGGAACAGGAAATCACAAGTAAACTATTTTCTGACCTTTTACATGCATTGCATTATTACTGATTTTAGAGTGAAATGCCAAAATAGTCCCCTGATTTCTTACATGGGGTCATTTCACTCCCAAAGTTTATAAAAGTATTAAATTACTCCACAAATTCTTTAAATTGGGGCAGGGACCCATATTAAAAGAGTTTGGGGACTAATATGACATTTTAGAGACTCTGGGTAAGACAACCCCCTACAAATTATTTTGACAATTTTCTCGTTGGTTTTATCAAAACGAACTTCTATGACTCTTATCTCTCTTGTAGTTTATACTGCACCCCAGCTTCACTGGCAGTATCATGTTCAAGCATGCAATGTCGAGGAAGCAACTTAATGCTGGGAAATGTTACTGCTCAGCCCACTACTGCAGGATGCAACGTCACTTCCTGCTCTTATGGTGGCTTTGTAAATGGAACAATCCTCACAACGTAAGCTTCTTATACATCATGCATACATGCATGCATATATATGTACATGTATGCATATGTGTATTTATGTATGTATATTTCTGCGTTCAACACGTCAAGGAAAGCAAGTTTTAATCAATTAGATTCTTATACATCATGCATACATGCATGCATATATATATACATGTATGTATATGTGTATTTATGTATGTATATTTCTGCTTTCAACACGTCAAGGAAAGCATGTTTTAATCAATTAGTTCAACACGTCAAGGAAAGCAAGTTTTAATCAATTAGATACTTTGCAGGTTATCTACTTCCCTTCAACCCCGTTGTCCAGGTTAATCTCTTGCCATGCTTCTCACTTTTCACATTCTATAACTTCACATGAACTCATCCAAGTCTTCTTATACTGCGTGTCACTTGTTGGCTGATTCAGGGCCGCCCCAACTTCCTCAACTGGTTCCTCCGCCTACTTTTGTTAGCCCTGATTCATTTTTGGGTCCATCGCCATCTCCGTTTCCATCACAACCTGGCGGTGCCATGCCTACGCCAAAGACTCCGTTTCCTGGAACTTCGAACTTGCCTGCTGTTTCTCCTGCAGGTGGTCCTGCTGGAAGCACATCTCAGGCTTCTCCTCTTAAGCGCTTAAATCTTATTGTTGATGCTTTTATTTTCTGCTTGCTATTGTAATTTAGGTAGTTTTGTTCTTTATTATTATTATTATTATTTTTTGGCTTCATACATTGTTTTGTATTGTGAACTAATTATGAATTTTATTTGCCATTTTCTAGTTTAGTCTTGTACTATGGCATGCTTTTGTTTTTTGCTTTCTTTTCTGCAGAAAGATACCTGGCTTTTCTGGATTTTGCTGAGCCAGTTAAGTTTTTTAGACATTTGTCAAAGGTATATTAAGGTTTGTGGATTTCAGATTATGGTAATGGTTCATTTGTTTGCTTGGTAATGATAGACTGGAAAGTGATCGTTTTGTTATTTGTCGGATTTAAATTTGAAATTTTTTTAAAATTTTTTTTCTAGTTTTTATTAATATTTTCCGAGATGAAATTTATATTGATTTTTATGTTTATTATCTGCTAAATCTTAATAAAAATATGATGAATTAATTATGTTGGTATACAGAATTCTTTTTAGTCAATCAGTTTGCTTGTAAAAGTCTTGAATCAAATAATATTTTGGGCATTTACATGCATACCACACAAATCGTGTATTTTCATATCTGACATCTAAGCATTCATATTTATGTAACCACTCAATGTTTTATCATCACATCAAAAATACATTCATCATAGTTTTCTTAAAAAGTGAAGGACACATTTTCATGCATGAGTTTATGATGCCGAAGTGTTTTATTAATGCAAATATCAAACTCTGGGTGGTATGTATATAAATTTCAACAGGCACACTATAAAAAAAATCATTTTTTTAAGAATGGGTTTGCCCAGCTTTTATTGATTTGAATAAGTTTTTTACATGGGTGTGGTTATAGATACGAAATGGCTAAACGGAAGTGAAATGAAAATATAATTTATAGGGCGAAAAAGTCTCAATTTTTTTTCTTGTAATAGACAAAATTTCACTCTATAAGCTTGGAATGTGTTAATAGACGTTGTCACAGGATGTCTGTTGTCACCAATGGCAGGGCTCTCTATATTGCTTCTGCAGATCTTGCTATGATTTGTTGTTTCATTGCCGACCAGAAAACAATGTTCGGACTTAGAATGTGCAGAATCTTATGGTAGATCTTCTGTCGTTTGGATTGGTGGCCCAATATGCATCTGCATTGGCTTTGAGTGCCGGGTCACTTGAGAAAACGGGTACTCCATGTTTGTGAGTGTCATTGAGTTAGCGTAGAAAATGTTTGAGGAGTTGATTGTGATGTGTGAGAGGTTGGTGCATGTGTTGGCTGAGGAAGTTTGTTGTGTATGTGATGTGGTGGCGTGTGAATGTGAAATATTGGAAGGACCTGATGAATTGACGGGATTGTTGTGGGTTTGTGTGGAGGTTGTTGTCAGTCATGCGGCTTGTGGAGGAGGGTAGAGGGATGAGAACTGGCTTGGAGTCGGCCATTACTCTGGTCTGAAGGATGTCTGTGAGATATTTGGTTTGTTTTATGAAGTATCCATTGGAGATGTGATGAACATGGAGTCCTAAAAATTGGGGTATGGGAGTTGGTTGTTTGATGTGAAACTAGTTGCCTAATTTTTGGAGTAGAGATGCTATGTGTGCTGATGAGTTGCTTGTAATAAGGATGTCGTCAACATTGATTAGGAGAAATATTTGGATGTGTTGTTTGTTGTAGATAAGGAGCGAGCGATCAACAATGCTGAAGTGATGGCTCTATAGATAAGTGTAGAAGGTGGAGTACCATTGCCTTGATGCCTATTTTTGCCCATATATTGCCTTGTGCAGTTTGTAGACGAATTTCGAGTGTTGGTTGTATTTAAAACCCAGTGGTTGTTGCTTGAACTTTGTATCATCGAGCTTGTCATGAAGGAATGCAGTGGAAAAGTTTAATTGTTGGACCTCCCATATTTGTGTTGTTGTCAGAGCAAGGGATTTTGCCACCGGACTGACTATCTCTGTGTAGTCTATTATTGGTTTTTGGGCATTTTTGGGCGCTCCCTTGAGCTACTAGGCGTGCCTTGTATCTAGCAATGGATTCATCTGAGGGTGTTCTTGTTTTATATGTCTATTTGCATTCCAGAATAGTGTGATCTGTGGGTGCTGGTACCACGAACCAGGTTCTCTGTTGTTGAAGAGAGAAAAACTCAATGGACATGGCTTGGCGCTAGTGAGGAATCTTGTGGGCTTTGGGATAGGAATTGTGGGTTCTATGGGGTTTGTTGTATGGGTGAGGTCAAGTATTTGTCTGGGTTTAAGAGTTCCTGCTTTGGTTTTTGTTATCATGCAGTGAGATTGTGATTGTGTTTGTAGGATGTGTTGTTAGTTGTTGTGTGGGTGTGTGTTGTTGGGTTGGTAAAGGTTGTTGTTTGTTGTTTTTTGTGTGTGTAAAGATGTTGTTGTTGTTGGTTATGTAGGATGGATGTTGGAACTAGTAGAGAAGGTGGTGCTTGTGATGTAGTTTGTTTTGTGGTTGGTTGGTGTGACTTTGATTTGGTGGAATGGAAATGAGGTTTCAATGAAAGTGACATGTCTAGAGATGATTCTTTTGTTTGTGGATGAGTTACAGCATTTGTAACATCTTTGTTGGGGGTTGTAGCTAATAAAAGCATAGGGGTTTTGGTTTGAAGTTTGTGTGTCATTTGTGGTTCCTCACGTGCAAACATAGTAATCTGTTGTTTTTTTCTTTTTTCGTAGAGTTCATGAGGGGATTTGTTATGAGTCGTTTTAGAAGGGAGAATGTTGATAAGTTGAATTGCGAGGATTGCCTCCATCCAGAAGGATTGAGGAAGATGGTTCACATTGAGTAAGGTTATTGTTGTTTCAATGATATGCCTGTGTTTGCATTCGCCGGGCCATTTTGTTGTGGTGTGATAGGCATGAGAACTGATGTTTTATGTCGTTGGTTTGGAGATATTGTTGTAGTTGATGAAAGGTGTATTTACCTCCATTATCAGTGCGAATAAATTTTTTTTTTTTTTTTTGTATTGAAAATGGTCATGAGATACTGGTGAAGATGAATAAAAAGTGTTTGTTTCATTTTTGTTGTGCATGGGAAATATCCAACAAAAGTGAGAATATGCATCTATAAATGAGACATAGTATCAATATCCATTGATTGAAACAAAGGGAAAAGATCCCCATACATCAAAGTAGGTAAGTTCTAAACGATTATATGTAGTATTATTGGTACGAAAGACTAATCTATGACTCTTGTTCTGGTGGCATGCTAAGCATGGTAACTGAGAGCTGGGGATGCGTAGTTGAGGGAATTTACTGGAGATGAATGATAATGTTCGATGGTGGGGGTGGCCAATTCCTTGATGCCAGTTAGTTGAGGAGATGGAGGTGGGGATGGATTTGTATTGTATATAGAACCTCCCTAACTGGACCTATGAGTAAAATCTTTTGTATTTTCTGCATATGGTATTTTTTAGCATCGAAAGATAGAATGCAATTATTACCTTGAGCAAGTTTTTGAACTGAAAGAAGATTGTTTTAGAGATGAGAGACATGATAGAGAGATGGAAGATTGAGCTTACTTGTGGGAGTGAGACAGATGCTCGATCCTTTATGGGGATATGTTGGAGACCTGACTATTACCTACAGTGACTTGTTCTATGCCTTGATATGGATTTGGGAGATGTAGGTTTTCTAGATTTGGTGTAAGGTGTGTTGTTGCGCCTGTGTTAAAGATCCATGATTGGTTTTCTATGTTGTTGGTAGCTATGAGTGTTGTGTGGTTTTGAGGTGTGTTTGTTTTGTATTGTAGGTTGGTATTGTAGGTTATTTGTTGTTTGTTTTGTGTGAGTTGGTTTAGTATTTGGAAGTTTGAGGTTGTTGGTATTGATTTTTGTAATTGGTTTTGTGTTGTTGTTTTTTGTTTAGTTGCTGTATAGAGTTGTGAGGGGTGGTTTGTTATTCTTCTATTTAAGTTTTTGCAATTTCAACCCCAAGATTAAAAAAAATTATGGACTAATTTGACAATTTTATAAACTCGGTGACTAATTTGACATATAGCTAGTTGCAATTGTATGGGGGTGATTATTAATTTTTATAAAAAAATGTTGTATAATTTTTATTAGAATAATATTTGTTTAAAAATTATTATGAATATTATAAATATTCTTTATTCTAAGAAATTAACCATAAGCTTTCTTATATCAACAATATCCGGGGAAAATGATTATAAATGTCTTTTCATCATAAAAATTTATAGAAAATAGATAAAAATAATAATTAAAAAATTGCATTAAAGTTATACTAGATAAATCCTTCATCTATAGCTTATACACATGGAAGATTTACATACGCACCACTCAATTCTTCTGCATTTATAAATCTAATATCTAAACTTCAATTTTTACATACATGGCACATTTCCTATGCATGAAAAATATATTTCACTTTTTAAAAATCATAATTTATACAAAAAAAGAGCCGGTGGAAATCTCGAGGAGATCTGAAGGGGCAGACAAAACAAGACGTGTCAAAGGAGGGTCTACCAAACCAAGGCAACTAAGCGACTCTAACCCGAGTAGTTTAACCTCAAATGGAGTGCTTGGAAACCCAAGCCAATCCCCATGATCAGAGCAACCCAAGGGGGAAAGCTTACCCCTCGGGTCCTACAATTCCCTTGGAAGCATTCCACGGCCTCCTTGAACATCACCAAGAAGTAGAGAGGTTAATCTAAGCCATCTTTCGTACTCTTTATATGGGGGTGTCTACCTATCAAATTACAGTGATTTAAGCTTTACCCAATAATCTAGCTAACTTTGCTCTGAAGATTGGAGCTCCTTATAAGGGATCGAGGGTCGACGACCAAAATTGATCTTCCAAGCAAGACCACTTAGCCAACTGAGTCAACCTTACCAACCCTTTGCCAATAAGAGTCCAACAAATTGACAACATCGAGCCTAGCTCACTAGTAGGGTTGTAATCGAGCTGATTATATCTTAGTTTGAACTTAATTTGGTATAATTATAAGTTGTTCATGTTTGGCCTGAACTTGTGTCTAGCTTTCATATATTCTTCAAGCTTGACTTGTTTAAATTTTTCAATGCTTGAACTTGTTTTGTACTTGATTTGCTTATGAATTGTGAACAAGTATTTAAACGAGATAATAAACAACTTAAAAATTCAAACAAGTATCTAGATTTTCATACAAAAAAATCAATAAATAATTTTACAAATTTGATTAAAACTATTAATATATTGATTTATAAACTTTAAACTTTTTAGTATTTTAAATCTCGTTTCTCCTTTATTTTGACCTAAATCCCTCACTCAAGTGTTCTTTAGTAGACTGATTTGTGGAGCATTTAAGTGTGATTTAACTTAAATCTTACCAATTAACTTAAAATTATAACTTTAAAACCTACGAAAACTTAATATTGAGTATTTATACATCAAAAATGATACGAGCTATCGACAAACGAGTTAATATTCTAGATAATTAAAATTTATTTAAAAAATATCATATACGATACAAGCTGTCAACGAGCTTAATATCGAGTATTTAACAAGTTATTTGTTGAATAACAAATGAGCGTGTTCGTGAACAAAAATGAACAAGTTTAATTTTGTTCATGTTTAGTTCATTTAAGCTCAAACTTTTAAAAATTGTGCAAGCTTGCTTGTTTTTTTACTAATTTGAACAAACATGATCGAGTCGAGCTCGAGTTATTCATTGAGTGTATTGGTTCATTTACAGCTCTACTGACCGGTAGTCTTACCATACCAGTCTGATTGATAGGCCTCTCTAGCTTAGGCAATCAACAATGCCTACAAAGGGCTCGCTAGTCCAACCAGACTCTGAATTCACATATGTAAAATATTTATGATAATATGTACAATCCCCACAAAGTAGAGACATAAATGTAACTTCATATATTGTATCACATTTCTCTATAAATATGAGATCATTCAAATATTCTACGAATGAATGATTGTACATATTGCATCAAATGAGGATTCAACACATAATATTTGAGATATGATATGAAAGATTTAAGTGGTATAAATGGAATAATTAGAATATAGTTATTACAAATATAAATACATATATATGACTGGGGGGATGTTAGCGTCCTTCCTGTAAAAGAGAAGCGATCAATACCATTCACAATCCAAGTGGTTTTCCAACCGTCTGATTAACCGGTTGTCATTCTCAGAACTGGCGGCAAGCGCCAGAAAACCAAAGCTCCCCTCGCCAAATAACCCCATCCTTCTTCCATGTCCGTTCTTCCTCCGAATCGCCAAAACATAGAAGATGCCTTCTTGCTTCCTCGCCAAGTACAATGGCGAGAGAAACCCTAGAGTTTTTCGTCGCAGCTCTAGGCTCTACCAAGGCTCCCAACCCCACAGCTTGCAACCTCCAATTCATCCGTCTCGTTGGCTCCGGCATCGGAATCCTTGCCTTCAAGCTCCTTCCAGTTTTCATCGACCATGGTATCCCCGCTCATCTTCCATCTCTCAACTCCATCGTCGCATTTCTCTGCCGCCTCAGCCAGCCCCACGCCGCCGAACGCCTTTTGGCCACATTTCCCATTCTCGGCTGTTCTCCCGACCTCGTTACCTTCAACTCTCTCATCGACGGCCACTGCCGTGCTGGAAATCTCTACCGCGCGTCTTTGTTAGTGGTCCGCCTCCGGTGCTTTGGCCCACTGCCCGATGCCATCACTTATAATGTTATGATGGGCTCCTTGTTCAAGCATAAGTTGCCAAACTTTGCTCTTGGGTATTTGGGTTTGATGTGGAAGTCCTGTTTGCCCAACGTGATCACGTATGGGATTCTTATCGACATGTTCTGCAAGCTGGGCGATCTTGATTCAGCGCACTCTGCCATGAATGACATGAGAATGTCCGGAATCTCTCCAAATCTGGTTGCCTTTACTTGTTTGATCGATGGGTGCTGCAAGAATGGTTGTTTGGATTCTGCACTCAAACTGTTCGACAGTATGCAGGACCTGTCACTGTTTCCAAATGTTGTTACTTGTACTGCTCTTATTGATGGGATTTGTAAAAAAGGAATGATGGAGAGAGCAGAGCAGGTTGTTGCAAAGGTGCGTAAGGAAGGGATTGAAGCAAATGCTGTGATTTACACTTCAATGATGGATGGATACTTTAAGAAAGGTGATTCAGTAGCTGCATTGAGATATTTGAGTAGAATGACAGTCGCTGGATTGAACCTTGATATGAAGGGTTATGGAGTTGCTATATCAGGACTTTGTAGTTGTGGTAGGCTGGATGAAGCTATGGAGATGAGAAAGGATATGGAAAAGGGCGGCCTTTTTCCGGATAAGATTATTATGACTGCTCTGATGGATGCTTGTTTCAAGACTGGGAATGTGGAAAAGGCTTTGGATTTGTATGGAGAGATGTTAGAGAAAGAGTTACAACCAGATGTCTTTACTGATGCAGCACTTATGGATGGGCTCTGCAAGCATGGGCTTTTAGAGAAAGCAAAAGTGTATTTTTTGAAAGCTAAAAGAATCAATGAGGTTTCTTACACTATTCTCATTGATGGGCTATGCAAGGAAGGAGATAGAAAAGAGGCTGAGAAGTTATTTTTAGACATGGAGGCGGCTGGTTTGGTTCCAGACAAGTACAGCTACACATCACTGATTGCCAGATTTTGCAGAGAAGGTGATGTTTTGGAAGCTTTCAAACTGAAAAAAACAATGCTTCATAAGGGAGCAGAGGCTGACTTGCTAACTTACAGCACGCTTATCTGGGGCCTGGCCTCTAAAGGTCTTATGATAGAAGCACGAGAGGTCTTTGATGATATGGTGAGAAGTGGAATAGCTCCTGATGTGGTTGTTTATGATATCTTGGCTAAAGGCTACCTGAAACAGAATGATACTACTTCAATCTTGAATTTAATGGGACATATGAAGAAATCTGGACTCTTCATAAAGGAGGTTGAAAAGTTAAAGAGTTATCCAAATGGATAGTTTAGTAATTTCACTTGATTATTGAAGTAAGTTATGCATTACGATAGAGTTCGTTGCATCTTTTTGATATGATCAGTTGTCTCATTTGCTATTTTGTTAGATGAGGTTGACAACATCGTCAAGTTGGGTAGGCTGCTTTTATGAAAGGCTTTATGTCTGCATCGAGTAATCTGAATTTTTTTGCAAATGTTATCCCCACGGTATGCTACTGCGTGCATTTGACAAGGAAACCAACTCTTTTATCCTAAAGATGATACATGCGTATACTTCAACACATTCTTCAATCACAGACTGCATTTCAATTATACTATATTAACATCATGTGCAAAATATATGGATGAGATGAAATTAGAATTAGGAATTTGGCGTGGGTAGTATTTCCCATCAACATAATTTGATTATCATCTTGTGCCGCCTTTTGAGCAATAGTAGTCCTGCTATAATAGTCTCTACAATTTTAACGATTTCTTTGTTTTGGATTTTATGATTTTCTTTGTTGTAAGACCAGATGCTTATAATTTTTTTTGCAATAAGTGGGCCATGCATCCTTGGTGAATCATTTTTTTTTTTTTGTTCAGATGAAGACATTTTTTTGTCAAGTAACATCTTGAATGATGGAAGTGTTTGTATTAGTACTGCTTTCTGTTTTTATGATTTTTCAGTGGCTTTGGCTGTTTAGGTTATTAACATTCGCGGTCATCATAAGAATGTTAATTTTGGATGTACTTAGTGGCATGTAATTAGGCGGTTGATGATGTTATTGGGACTTTTTAGGTGGGAGAGGAGGGAGTCATTGATCTTTTGGTTGATTTTATTTTCTATGATGTAGAGGCCAATCAAACTCTTGTTTTGAACTTTTATTTTCTCTTAAGTTTGTTTTTTTGTGAATCGTGCTCTTCTTTTTGAATAGATAATGTCACCAATACTATACTAATAGTTCAAATGGATCTTCTTTTTAGTCACATTCATCACATGTTCGTAAGCCATTTTCATGTTTCAATTCCTACTAAATGTTCTAGAAACAATACTTCAGGATTTTTACTTGATAGCCTTTGATTGACTTCTTAATCGGTGAATTTTGTTTATGCTTACAGCCCTCTTTATCTCGAATCTCCCCAAAGCATTATCAACTCTTTAGTAACGAAAGTATTGGCCTCCATATTCTAGTCACATGGTCTTGGCATTGGGGTTATGGTCAATGACTCCCCATTGGTATGGTTTTTGTCTTTGTTCTCTCCCATCCTGCATCTGTCCCATTGACTTGCCAATGTCTTTCTATTGCTCTATTAACGTATTCTTGTTATACCACCAAAGAAATCCCCATTGTCACACCAACATCCTCTATCATTTCATCTGTGATTTTATCAGCACAATGGTTGATGGCGCAACACATGTAAACCCAAAGAAAAAAACTGGGAAACGAAAGAGCTACTTCTCTTGCAGAGAATATTCTATTCAATTAGTAAACAAAAGTAAAACTACCATAAAAACAATAGAGTAATAACATATATCCCCGATTGATCCCCAACCCAACTATATAACTATATCACCATAAAAAATTAATTAATACTTAAGCTAAAATAAACAGTACTAAGCAAAATGTAATTAAGTAATTCAAGAAATGTTAACTGTTTAGCATACTAACTGCATTAGTTCTCGTCTGGTCCAAAAGATCACGACTCGAGTTCAATCACGGGTGCAATTACGTCTTCTGGCGGGTGATACTGGTAAAGATCGGACATGTTGAAGGTGGATGACATGTTCATCTCAGGTGGAAGAGACAATACATAAGCATGGTCATTAGTTTTAGCTTAACTTGGAAGATAGCCTGTCTTCCTTGGCTTCAATTTTTAATAAGTACTGGAAATCTTTCTTGCATATGACGTTGAGCAACCTGCTTTTTTGTATTTTTGATTGCTTTGATCTATTGCATCTCTCATTTCCTGCAACATTTTACTAGATTTCCTTACAAGTTGGGTTGCTTGTTGATGATTGGAAGTTGATAATAGAGTCACATTAATGATATGATTAGGTTCTTTGGTATAAACGATGATGAAGGTGATTTGCTTGTGGTTCTATCATTGTATTGAAGGCGAAGTCAGCTTGACCCAACACATCGTCTCATTTTTTTCACCGTCATTGTAAATGCATCTAATAATGTGTCCCAACATGTGATTTACTACTTCAGTTTAATCGTTCATTTACAGGTGATATGTTCAAAAATAACTAATGAAGCCTTGCTATCTCTTTGAAGAATAATTTTGTTACGTTAATAGCATAAAATGTTTTATTGCAAGCAATAAAATGAGCCATTTTGAAAATCTATCTATTACTACCATTACGGAGTAGAATCCTTTCTTTGTCTTTGGAAGACATAATGCAAAGTCTAAAGCTCAAATCCTTCCAAATGGTGTCCGGAACAGGTAAAGAAGTATATAGCCCTGTATAAAGAAACACACATCTCGCCTCAATCTTGGACAAAAAAAATCGGCATTGGACTAAAACCAAGGTTTTATCTCTTCTCACACGAGCGGCCAATCCGTCCCCTTGAAGATCTTTGATAAGTTGCCGCTGTAATGAAGTGTTGGCAATATACAACTAATATACCTTTAAGAGGAAGCCTCAGTTATAGAATAATGACATGTTGCTATGTGGGAGATGCATTGAGACCAAACGGTGCTAAAATCTACATCATCTGGATACAATTCAGGCAACGAATTTAGTCCAGTAATGGTGGACCGATCAACGACAAGAAGGCTATCTTTTCTACTTGTCGCATCAACAACTGTATTACTATCTCCAGCTTAATGTTTTATAAGGAAACTAAATTTTTGTAGGTAAAGAACCCACCTCACGTGCATCTGATTCAGATTCTTCTGAGTTTGCGAAAATTGAAGGGAGTGGTGGTCGCTATAGAGCACAAACTCTTGATGAATCAAATAATGTGCCCATTGTTTAAGAATGTGGATCACCACATATAATTCATGTTCATATGTGGATCATTTTTGACATTGATTACTCAACTTTTCACAAAAGAATCCAATGGGTTTAGTGTCTTGAGAAAGCATGGATCCAATTCCAACTGTTGAAGCATCCATCTCCACTTGAGAAGGTTTATCAAAATTGTTTATGAACAGGAGTCGAGCTACAACAATTTTTCATAGCATTGAAGTTGGATTGCTATTCTTCTCCCCACAAGAAAGTTTATGCTATAAACACTCGGTTATTGGAGCTATTATTATGCTGAAAGTATGGATAAATTTGCTATAGAAGTTTGCTAGCGCATGGAAATTCTTCACTTTCGAGATGGATGTTGGCGTAGGCCAGTATTGATTGGCTTTGACCTTGCTAGGATCGGTTTTAATTCCATGCTTGGATACAATGAAACCCTAGAAGTATACCTCTTCCAATGCAAATTCACATTTGAACCGGCTGAGAAACAATTTATGATCTTTTGAGGTCATTAAAATCAGCTTTAGATGATGCATAAGGGCTGCCATGGAGGGACTATACACAAGAATATCATCATGGTAAGCTACAAAAAAGTGTCCAAGGAAAGGTTTAAGTACCTCATGCATTAATCTCATGAATACGCTTGGCACATTGCACAATCTAAACAGCATGAATCTCCACTCGTAAAGGCTTTTGCAAGTTTTGAAAGCAGTCTTCCAATTGCCCCCTTCTCGGATTCAGATTTGATGGTAACTGCTACATAGTGCTAGTTTGGAGAAAATGGAGGACTTATTTGATATGTGTTAGAGCTCCTCTAACTTTGGCATGGGAAAATGAAATTAATTGTAATTTTTTCAATTGCCTGACTATCTAGACATATATGCCACGTAGGATCCATTTTTGGAACAATAAGTGTGGGTATGCCACAAGGGCTGAGATTAGGTCTGATAAGTTGTTTTCTTAATAATTCATCTATAATATCTTGCAGCATTTGATACTCATTTGGGCTTAATTCGTATTGAGGCTAATTGGGTAAAATAGAACCTGGTATGAAATGTAGTTGATGTTGAATATCACTTTTTGGTGGCTGTTGATTCAGCAATTCAATAGGCAAAACATCCTCAAATTGTTGCAACAAGGATTTCACCTCCTCTGGAGTGTTGTTACGAGTGTTGTTGTTTTTTGTTTCAGTAACTAAGCAACAAATAAATATGCTTCTGTTTTGCAAGCTGCTAATAATTGCGATCCTGTAACAGTAGTATAAATGGCACTCTTCTCTTTGTTGTTCGTATCAGATGTGGTTGTAGGTGGCAACTGTTCTTCCTTCCTTTCCAATCAATAGAGTTAAGTGTTGGCTCGGCCATCATACCAAGCATAGACATCGAATTGCCATGCTCTTCCGGAATCAGACATGCCAATGACATCACAAACTACTTCACAAGCACAACTCTTACCAATGAATGTCACCCTGTAAGTTTCGGTCACCAAAACTTAACTCCTCATTTGACCCAACTAATCTCATACAGTTGTGGTCATTCAAAATTTCATAATTTTAAAGCTTCAACCACATTCACAGCAATTAATCACATTCTTTATGCAGCCACAATTAATTAACAACTCACAAACTTCACCATTAATAGTCCAGTTAGTTCAAAATACGGAATGTTGTTGCATGTTAACCTGTTGTTTTGGTGATAATAAAATTTTATCTGTAACACAAGAAAAAAACTCACCTTCATCACCTAGTACCTCTTCACATTCTTCTTTAGAGAATGGCGGTTCGAGATTGTAATCTTCTTCTGATTCACACCATCAGCAAGTTGTAATTTTTGACGATTCGTGCATTCATTGGATCGATGCCCAGGCTGGAAATATCTAAAGCACTTCCAAGGCCCTAGTTTACCTTAGATGCATTGCCTTTGGTTGTTGGGTTTTGGAATAGTTGTGGGATTTTTTTCTTCAACCTTTTGAATTAATTGTTGGGCTTGAAGGGAGCTCTCTCAGACGGAAGTAGATCTGCTCTTTCCAACCTTGACTCGTGTATTGGCTAGACTGCACTTGGGATTATGCAATTTGGGAGTTCGATTCAACAACAGCTCCACTTTAAAGCAACTGAACTGTATTTATCTCATGTTTATCTTGGATAGCTTTCCTGTGTCCTCCTAGCAACCAACTATTGGTTTTTTTCATTTAGGTAGAAAACGGCTGCGGAGTAGCTTTTTCATTCTAATCCAACTTCTTGCATTGCCTTTTCCTTCATCCATTCTGGACTGAAGTAGTTGCAGCCACCAAGCGCCTCCACCCTCCTTTAATTTCCAAGCAACATACCAAACTTTTTTTCTTGTGGAATGTCCATATAATCGAAGGTCTCTACTAATTGTTCTCAATTGAGATAATCTTTGATGTATAAATATTAGTCGAATACCAGAATATCAATTTTCACCTTAAATTTATTGTAGGGCCGATCATAACTTAATATCCTGTGTTGAGTGTCGTCCATCAATAGTCTCCTCATCCAAATTAGAATCAGAGAAATAAGTCTGTCTACTCGGGTTCTGATCCTTCGCAGATTTAGGAAGCCTG